TGAATAAATGGAACAGTTAGCTAGCCCTTACTTAATTCATCAAGCATTTATGACATGTTATTGGTGCCAAGTCATGTGCTAGAAATACAAATGTGGAGATCCAATTTTAGCCCTCAAAGGGCCCCTAGTCTTAAATCATAGTTTAGTTCTTCTCTTCTTGCATTACTGAACACTGAACACATTCTCCCCAGTCCTGAGATTTCAGGAAGAACAATGAACTGGGGAGACTGGGGAAACAGGAGATCTGTAAAACTGATTGGCAGCATAAATTCATGATGAATGGATCATCACTTGTTCTTTTCTCTCTTCCACCTTTCTCTGATCTATCTATACATATATCATGTTTTTTTAAAAAAATGCAAAATGATACAAGTTAATAATTCAGTCATGCAAGTGTTAGTCCATGTTCCCCTGGGGATCATAAAAGTAATAAACGAAATTGAATCATCATGCTTTACTACTTGTCCAGCATAAGTCATTCTGCTGGACAACCAAGAAACTGGTTAACTGCTGTTTTAGGGTCCTAATAACTCATTTTCTATTATATCCCACTGTGTAACAGAGAACAGCAATAGAATTAGGCAACATATCCTAGCATGGGTGAGTCTGAGAGGTCCTAGAGTAAAATAGTAGTAGTTTAAACGAGCCAAGGATAACACAGGACTGAGCTTGAGCATGCATTTAATACGATATTTTAAAACTGAACCTGAGAATGGAATGTAAGAAACACATACAAAAATTTCCTTGGATAAAAGTCTCAATGCTATGACCGACTAATCTGTTTTTGCAGAAGGCAATGACCCATCCTTCAGTAAGAAAGACAAAGGGACATTCATCACTTACTGTAATACAGACATCAACACAGCAAGTCACCAAATTCTTGAATTCTTATTACATGATATCTCTTGTATATTTCCGTTAAAAATCACCCCTCTTTTCCATCCTTCCATGAAAGGCACTGCACTATAGAAATTGTGCTGTGTTTTAGTCGTTCAGTCACGTCCGACTCTTTGCAACCCCATGGACTGTAGCCTGCCAGGCTCCTCTATCCATGGGGATTCTCCAGGACAGAATACTGGAGTAGGTTGCCATTCCCTTCTTCAGGGTATCTGCCCAACCCAGGGATCAAATCCAGGTCTCCCCATTGCAACAGTAATTAGGGCAATGAAACTATTCTGTATGATACTGTAATGGTGGATACATGTCATTATTCATTCATCAAAACCCACAGGATATATTAGGTTGGCCAAAAAGATTGTTTTGGCCATGTTAATTTTACTATATTTGGAACAATATATTTTAGTTTTTTGTCTTTTAAGTTTCATGCTTACTTTATAAGTGACTGACCCTCTACTTTATTATATATTTACCCTTTTGAGTGAGATATTTTTTGGGGGGGCTTCCCTGGTAGCTCAGTTGTAAAAGAATCCACTGGCTAATGCAGGAAATGCAGTTCGATTCTTGGGTCAGGAAGATCCCATGGAGAAGGAAATGGTAACCCACTCCAGTATTCTTGCCTGGGAAATTTCATAGACAGAGGAGCCTGGCAGGTTACAGTCCACTGAGTCTCAAAGAGTTGGACGTGACTTAACAACTGTACAACAAAAATGGTGAGGTTCTTACTTTCATGTGTTTATTTATTTATTTATTTTTAAATTTATTATTAATTAGTGCTATTTCTTTTCAGCTTAAAGAAGTCTCTTCATTATTTCTTTCAGGGTTGGTTTAGTGTTGATGAATTCCTTTAACTTCTGTTTATCTGGGAAACTCTTGATTTCTTCAATTCTGAATAATAACCTTGTTAATAATTCTTGGCTGACTTTCTTCCTTTTAGCACTTTGAATATGTTAAGCCACTCTCTTCTGGCCTGCACTGCTGCTGCTGCTAAGTCGCGTCAGTCGTGTCCGACTCTGTGTGACCCCGTAGACGGCAACCCACCAGACTCCCCTGTCCCTGGGATTCTCCAAGCAAGAACACTGGAGTGGGTTGCCAGGCCTGCACAGTTTATGCTAAAAAATCTAAGAGCCTTGTGGGTTTTAGTATGTAACAAGTATTCTTTTTTCTCTTGCTGCTTTTAGGATTTTCTCTCATCCTTAATTTTTACCATTTTAATTATAATGTAGGGTGTGTGTGGCTCTTTGGTTTCAACTTATTTGGAACTCTATCCTTCCTAGATCTGGATGTCTATTTCCTTTCCCATATTATGGAAATTTTCAGCCACTATTTCCTCAAATAATTTTTTTTGCCCCTCTCTCCTCTTGTGGGACTCTGTAATGGGAATGCTATTTCACTTGATGCTGTTCCAAAGGTCCCTTAAGGTATCTTCACCACTTAAAATCTTTGTCATTTTGCTAGTCTGTCTGGGTGACTTTCACTGCTTTGTCTTAGCTTCTTGATTCTTTCTGTTGCCTCATCCAATCTGTTGCTGAACTCCTCTAGTGTATTTTTTAGTTCAGTTATTATTTCTCTTTGGTATTTTCTTCTATTTTCTATCTCACTGTTGAAGTTCTCACTCTGTTCAACCAGTATTCTTCCAAATTTAATGAGCAACTTTATGATCATCATTGAACTCTGCCAGGAGACTGCTTATCTCTGTTTTTTTAATTTCTTTTTCTGAGGTTTTCTCTTATTCTTTCATTTGGAACATATTCCTCTGTCTCCTTATTTTGCTTAATTCTGTTTGTTTCTATGTATTAGGTAAATCACCTGTCTCTCCCAGTCTTGAAGGAGTGGCCTTATTTAAGACATGTCCTATGGGGCTCAGAAGCATAAACTTGCTTTCCACCAGAGCCAAAAATTCAAGGGTTTGCCCAACTATTTGGGCTGTGTGTGCCTTCCAGTTTTGGCAAGGCTGTGGCTGTGGGTGGGGCTGGTCCCCAGACTGGAAGCAGTGCCCAGTCAAAACACAGCCCTAAGGCTGAGGTTCCGAGCACTGGCGTAATAGGTGAGAAAGAGAATTCCAAAATGGTGCTTGACAGTTCTAATATTACAAAGTAGCCTGAGGTTGCAAAAAGGTCCATTGCTAGAGTTTCAAACCTGGGAGATTATTCCAACTGCTTTCTGACTCTCCAGCATATGTTTCAAGGTTAGTAAGTAGGACCCCTTCACCTATGATCCAGGCACTTTTCAACTGGTGTTTGTGTCCTGTGGGTCAACTGGTTTTGGGGTCTAGTAGGTCTGTAGGAAGCTCTTTAAGCGTGGACTTCTCATCCCTGCAATTCTATAGTTTTCCTGGACGTACTCCCCACTGGTTTTCTTTTTTTCTCCCCACTGGTTTTCAAAGTCAGTTACTTTAGGGGCTCATCTCTCCTGTACAGGACCTAGGGGCTGGGTTCCTGGCATGGAGCTCAGATATCCTGCTCCTCAGGGGAAAGGTCCATAGCTTGTGACCTTTTCCATTTGTACACTGCTGTGGCTGGGGTGTGGTTCTTTTCCCCTGGGGGGAGACTTTGTCTCTGCCTCTCATACCTTTGGGCTTCCCTTGTGGCTCAGCTGGTAAAGAATCCACCTGCAATGGGGGAGACCTGGGTTTGATCCCTGGGTTGGGAAGATCCCCTGGAGAAGGGAAAGGCTACCCACTCCAGTATTCTGGCCTGGAGAATTCCATGGACTGTATAGTCCATGGAGTCATAAAGAGCTGGACTCGACTGAGTGACTTTCACCTTTCACTCACTCATAGCTTTGATGCTGTTTAAATCCTTTGTTGTGGAGATACTATTCATCCAATTTGAAGGTCCCTTTCCAAGAAATTCATTCCAAATGCAGCTGTAGATTTCTTGTGTCCAGGGGAGGAGGTGAGTGCAGGATCTTCCTATGTCTTTGTATTGAACCCTCTCTTAAGGACAGTCAGTTCTTCATCTCCCCTGAGGTTCTATGCTATGAATCTTACGGTAAATCTCCCTGTAAAACTAAAAGCGTCAGCCTTCTCTGCTCTTTCAAGTCAGTTGTCACATCTCAATCTGACAAGATTTACGAACATCTTTTATGTTTTGTTGTCCCTCTTCACTCTGGTGGGTTTATACCATTTTTATTCCCATGTTATAATTTTATTGCAGCTTTAGAAGGAATCAGAGACAAAAACATGTATTTAATCTGTCAAGTTTTGATTCACTTTTTCCTTACATTTATTAAAAATTTCAATTAGGTTATCATTTATCTCTTATGATCTAATATGGAATTCACCTAAATTTATCAATATTTCTATAAACTTTGAAGTTTCTTATTAACTGGGTGCTATTTTTTTTTTTTTTAATGAAATCTTTCACTTTCTTGTATAGTCTTTAAGTGGTATACAAGATGACTAGCCATACTTCCTGGCTTTTGATCTCTTTGGGGAGCTGTAAATGCACTGCTGTGTTTTATTACCAAGTGAATTTATAGGCACAGTGACCTGTTCCACATTCATTCATCCAGATGCAGCACAAATCTAAAGTCTACATATAAACTTCTAAGAAATCACCTTTGCCATCTAATGTGCAGTCCTATTTCCTGGGCTTGTAGGAGAATTGATTTTGTTAAAAGTAATCCCAGATGAAAATAAAAAGAAGCAATAGTAGTCCCTCAATATTTTAGTTGTTTAAGATATCTTAGCTGGAGAGTTTGTGCTATCTTATGAATTCTAGATGGCTCTGTTCCCTGCAGAGTATAGTTATTAATGAGTAATTACTGTATATATATTTCCAGTCTCTTTAAAAATCATATGAGGAATATCTCAGCCATCCTTCTATCTTACCATGATCATTAGAAAATTATTATTATTATTTCAGTCAAGATGAATAAGCTCTAGAGACCAGCTGTATAACACTGTAACTATAGTCAAAATAACTAACATTTATTAACAATAAAATGTTAAGATAGACCTCATGTTAAATGTTCTTTCCACAATTAAATAAAGATAAATTAAAAAAAAGGAAAACACCTGTACTCTTACTTTCCAAAGGCATGTCTATCTTTTTTAAAAATTGGAGAACTAAAAAATCTTGATAGTAGTTTGAACATACCATCTTTATCAGCAGTGTCTTGAGGCTTGTATTTTAAAGTGAAGATCTTTCGTAGCTTACAATTCGCTGAGACAGTAATTCCATCCAGTGACTGGAAAACTGCTCCTTTGAATATTTCATTGGTAAATGCCACCAAGTCAATGCATAGATTGCACCACTAAAATTAAAAAGGGAAAGAGGAGTAAGTTCTTTTTACAGTCACATAAATGAAGAAGCCATCTTATAAGTGGAAAGTTCAGTGAGTTGAGGCAATCAACTGGGTCAACCAGCCCCAAACCAATTTTTTCCCTTTAGGTAAATCTATCTGTTTCGGCTTCAATTTTCTTAAAAACTATCTTGATTCTTCCAAAGAAATCATCATAATATGAACTACACATTGGTCACCTGGCTACAGAATTCCTATCGTGAGTCAAGGCTTTGACAACTTAAGAGAAATAACCCTAGATCTGTAGGCAGTTAACTGTAGATGGGTTAGACCACTTAAATTTTGAAAATCAGAGATAAGTAGCCAATTGTTCCTTCAAGAGGACTAATTTGATCACAATTAGCCACTTATATTTGGTTTAAAAAAAAGCAAAGATGAAATTGAAATTGGAAGCTGGGTCTAAAGTGTGGCCAGTGCTGTCTACTTACCAATTAACCTATTGTACAGAAATAGATTCTTCTAAAGAATCTATAATTATGCCTTGTATTTGCCAGTTTTTAAAGTACTCTTGCAGGGCCTAATTTCTGTCCATTAAACAATTAGAACCCTCAATACTTCAGCAGATGAATTCTCTAAATGGTATTACTGAGTTAAAGAAAAAGAGAAAATAATCATTTAGTAAAAAATTAAGATATTTAAAACTGCAGGACAGAAGCAGAAAAGAGCATTTTTGAAGTTAAAGGAAAAGCAGTATTTAAAATTGTCCGTGCTTTCATTATTTGCTTAGAAGCACATTTTATATGAGGTTTATTTTATTAATCTATCAAAATCGAGAGATATATTAATTGACAAAGGAAATGTAATCTCATTTTAAAAGTCAAATTCCATTTAGGAGTCTTGGTTTTAATATGGGTGAGAATCTGAGTTTGTTTCCACAGTACAAGAGTAAAAAAGAGTGCAGTAAAATATTGATTAAATACGGAAAATTATTTTCTTTGCAGATGTCTCAACAGTAACATTATATTTCCAGGTGATGGGACTGTTTTGATCTTTTTTTGGGGGAAGGAGCCTGGTGTAATGAAATGTAGGAGGTAGGACTGACTGTGATATAACAACGAGGCTGGCCTAACCAGCAGGAGGCACTCTGTTGGGAAGTGTGGGAAGTAATGTGGGACAGGGCATTGAGGCCAAGTTGTGGATTGTTGGAAGATCAAGAAGAGAAATGTGGACCACAGAGGGTAAAGTGTCATTGTGGTTCTTGAAGGAGAATGTAAGAAAAGTAGAGTAAGTGGGGAAGTCTGAATTAACCTCAGTGAAGGAATATTTGGGGCGGTAGAGGGGTACTGAGGGAGAAGGCTGAGGTAGAATACAGACAGGCAGACCAGTTAGTCTCCATCAGTCATTTAAGCATGAAGTGCTAGCTTAGGAAGTGAAATGCATGGGACAAATTCAGTATGCATGCCATACGGCAAAACACTATGGTTTGGTAAAAGCAGGCTGTATGGAAGTTTTGGGGTTTTCAGCTATCTAACAATAATTATTAATATTATTATACAAGTATTATTGTTGCAGAAACTAGTAATTGAGAAACCAAGCACCACACTCAAAGAGGTGGAGAACTCAGGTTTATTATACCAGCAGGTCCAGAGGCATTAACACTCTAAGCTCTGAGCCCTGAACAAAGGGGTTACAGAGTTTTTATAGACCTACTCTAGTGGGCAACACTAGCTGCTAATAGGCTGGTTTAAGGAACAGTGATCAAGACGGGGAGGGGATGCCTGACCTTTTCATGGACAGGCATGATTAAGCAAGTCTGCAGGGGCTGGGCAATTGTAAAGAGCAGGACAAGGGTGAATGAGATAAGTTCCAGATCGTAGTATTTTAAGTCCCCGCTTTCTGAGACTACGTGATCTAAGGGATCCAGACTTTTCAAGAAGCAAGCTGAGTTACAGAGGCAGAAGGAGCAGGAGGTTATGTAAAATTTTAACTTTTCCTCTTCATTATGACTGTTGTTACAAATTCTGGTCATATTCCTTAAAAATTTAACATTATGCCCCAATTTCAATCTTTCAGCTGGTTTGTCCCATTAGTAATCACATTTATCCATTCTTTCTCATAGGTTGTTGTTGTTTAGTCACTAAATTGTGTCTGACTCTTTGTGACCTCATGGACTGTAGCTTGCCAGGTTCCTCTGTCCATGGGATTCTCCAGGCAAGAATACTGGAGTGAGTTGCCATTTAGTTTTCCAGGGGATCTTCCCAACCCAGGGATCAAACCCGTATCTCCTGCTTGGCACGTGGATTCTTTACCACTGAACCACCAGGGAAGCCTTCATATAGGTGCTACATGCTTATCAGGTGTTGAGACACTGGGCATAGCCCTAAGGATAGAGCACTGAATAAAACTCCTTCCAGTCTGGGAAGGAAATCAGACATGTGGCATCTGTTATGTATAGTGAGTAGAGAGGGTGGGAAGGTGGGGATGTTCAAGAAAGGCTTCTTTTAAAAAAATTAAAATTTTTTTTATCATGACAGTGTATGCAAATATAGGTTAAATATAGTGCCAATAGTTTTACACAAAATGTAGCCCTCTGTCACTTTTTCACTCATCCAATCATACTGTCAACTCTTAACCATTCCTTCTCTCTGTATTTTTAAATAATATTCATTGATTCATCAATTTTAGACATTTATCTGCTGACTTACTATGGTAAATAAGACTTTTAGCTCATTTACACACCTAAATTTCTGACTTCTTCCTCCCAAGATAATTATCTCTCATTCTCTTTCTCCCTTTTCTTTAAAATCTATATTCTGTGTTCTCCTTATTGTGACTATGTAACTATTATGAAACCCGAACCAAGTGCTACTCTATGATTACCTTTCCCCCCTTATACAAGTTCCTCATATTTCCACAGTTAATAACTGCTTTCCAAATTATCTCTTTTTTGAAATAAATATTTTAAGTCTTTCGGCATTTAGAAAACGCTTGGAGGTGACATCTGAGTTTGGTTTTGAACAATTAATAAGGGTTTCCAGGGCCAGGGAGGCATGGGAATGTGCTGGGCAATTTTTTTTCTCAGTAACCTGCCCCTTTATTTTCTGCTTAGATGAACTCTCCAGTTGGCTACACCTGAAGACCCCACTGGACTCTGCCAGCTCTGCTTGGAATTGGAGTCGACCTCCTTCACCCACGGTGAGTACAGGAAACCAGGCCCTTACCTACTAAACGCTTTTTTCCCCTCACACAGCTTTACTGAGAAATAACTAACATCACTGTATAAGTTTAAGCTGTGCAGCTTGATGGCTTGATTTATTTGTATTATGAACTGATTACTACAAGAGGTTTAGTTAATATTCATCATCTAACACAGATACAATAAAATGGAAAGAGACTTCTTCTTGTGATGAGAACTCTTAACAGCTTTACTGTAGTTCATCAGCAGTCACCATGTTGTACATGACATCCTTCAGTTCAGTTCAGTTCAGTCGCTCAGTCGTGCCCGACTCCTTGCAACACCATGGACTGTAGCATGCCAGGCCTCCCTATCCATCACCAACTCCTGGAGTTTACTCAAACTCATGTCCATTGAGTCAGTGATATCATGCAACCATCTCTCATCCTTTGTCATCCCCTCCTCCTGCTGCCTTCAATCTTTCCCAGCATCAGGGTCTTTTCAAATAAGTCAGTTCTTTGCAGCAGGTAGTCAAAGTATTGGAGTTTCAGCTTCAACATCAGTCCTTCCAATGAATATTCAGGACTGATTTCCTTTAGGATGGACTGGGTGGATCAACTTGCAGTCCAAGGGACTCTCAACAGTCTTCTCCAACACCACAGTTCAAAAGCATCAATTCTTCAGCGCTCAGCTTTCTTTATAACTCTCACATCCATACATGACTACTGGAAAAACCATAGCTTTGACTAGATGGACCTTCGTTGGCAAAGTAATGTCTCTGCTTTTTAATAAGCTGTCTAGGTTGGTCATAACTTTTCTTCCAAGGAGCAAGTGTCTTTTTATTTCAAGGTTGTAGTCACCATCTGCAGTGACTTGGGAACACCCCCAAAATAAAGTCTGTTACTGTTTCCCCATATATTTGTCATGAAGTAAAGGGACCAGAGCCATGATCTTAGTTTTCTGATTTTTGAGTTTTAAGCCAACTTTTTCACTCTCTTGTTTCACTTTCATCAAGAGGCTCTTTAGTTCTTCTTTGCTTTCTGCAGTAAGGGTGGTTTCATCTGCATATCTGAGGTTATTGATACTTCTCCCTGCAATCTTGATTCCAGCTTGTGCTTCATCCAGTCCAGCATTTCTCATGATATACTCTGCATATAAGTTAAACAAGGAGGGTGACAATATACAGCCTTGATGTACTCCTTTCCTGATTTGGAACCAGTCTGTTGTTCCATGTCCAGTTAAGTTGAACGGTTCTATGAAGACATACAAGACCTTCTAGAACTAATAATCCAAAAATATGTCCTTTTCATTATAGGGGACTGGAATGCAAAAGTAGGAAGTAAAAAAATACCTGGAGTAACGGGAAAATTTGGCCTTTGAGCACAGAATGAAGCAGGGCAAATGCTAACAGAGTTTTGCCAAGATAATGTACTGGTCATAGCAAACACCCTCTTCCAGCAACACAAGAGAAGACTCTACACATGGACATCACCAGATGGTCAATACCAAAATCAGATTGATTATATTCTTTACAGCCAAAGATGGAGAAGCTCTGTACAGTGAGCAAAAACAAGACCGGGAGCTGACTGTGACTCAGATCGTGAACTCCTTATTGCCAAATTCAGACTTAAATTGAAGAAAGTACACTAGACCATTCAGGTATGACCTAAATCAAATCCCTTATGATTATACAATGGAAGTGACAAACAGATTCAAGGTATTAGATCTGATAGACAGAGTGCCTGAAGAACTATAGACGGAGGTTTGTGACACTGTTCAGGAGGCAGTGATCAAGACCACCCCCAAGAAAAAGCAATGCAAAAAGGCAAAAATGGCT